GAAATAAAATAACAAAGGCAAAAGCAGGAGCACTGACAGGAAGAAGAAAGCCCTCAAAGGGAGAGAAAAACAGGAAAAAAGAGGAGGACTAAAAAAGTGAAAATAAATCGTGTCAGAAGAGGGTAGATTTTCACAAATCCAGTTAAAGGTAAGATTGTCGAAAATTTAGTGTAAGAGGCCCCATGTCTGTGTTCGCCTTGGGCCCCCAAATTGCTAAATCCGCCCCTGGACTGAGGAAATTTTGCACACTACCTGTGACTGTTGCTGGGGGTGAACGGGCTTTTAGCAAACTGAAACTGGTGAAAATTTTTTTGAGATCAACAATGTCCCCGGATAGACTGAACAGCCTAGCTCTTCTTTCTATTGAAAGCCAATTAGCCAAAGGATTGGACTTTAAAGATCTCATAAGTGATCTTGCTAACATGAAGACCCGTCAGTGGGCATTTACTGGAAAATAAATTCCAGGATTTTTGTTTGAACACATTGTTGGCAAATAAAAATAATTATATGTGAAGTCTGGGCATTTCACTTTTATTATGCTGGCATTTGTATTTGCTCAACATAGAGGTTAAACTAAGATCATATTTATTGTCTTGTCTTATAGCATGACAAAAAATGTGTAAGAGAGATATTAAGTAATTGAGCATGGGGGCCCACCTAGAAGACTTGTACCTAGGGCCCAGAATTTAGTGCTACGCCCCTGATCCCGAGAGTAAAGGTTTTCGCTTATGCAGCGACCGCTTCATATCAGGTACTTAAACCAACGTTTCCTCAACTGTGTATGGTATTTATTTTAAATGCTTTCATTACGATTCTTAGTGGGCTTCCTAAACTTATTTTGGCGTGGCTTTTTCTGTCTTATTACTCATAGCAACAAGTAAACATCACGTAAAACGTTGCCTCGTGAGTTCTGCGTGCTACCGTTTACGTGTTTTATGATCTCAGCAATTAACCGGCTAAGCTGTATTTAATTTTTAAGCAATGGTTGATCAATTGTCAGATCATACATAAAAAGCACTTTGGATTGCTATTATCTGTCTCACCGAGACAGATCTCAGACAGATCCTGAGACGCTCCTGCCTGACATATTTATTTTATTCACGGAAAACAATCAGACTAGTGATTTCTCTTGGCGTTCAGTTTATACATTCAAACAGCACAGCACTCTATTTAAACTACTTATTTAAACTAATTGCTGGGTCTGGTGCATTGCATCTTCTTCTTCACAATACTCCATAGATTTTCTATGGAGTTGAGGTCAGGTGAGTTTGCAGGCCAGTCTAGACACAGGGATGGCATGGTCTTAAACTCAGCTACTGGACTGGATTATAATCTAGTCGTGTAAAATGCTATACAAGAGCGGGTCATTTCCAGTTTGTAAATGATCACATTTCCATATTTATATGCATGCTGGGGCTGGGGATCCATGCTTGTCTTGTACACAGCCAAGGGGGTCCTAAAGGAAAAATGTTTAGGAACTCCTGCTCTAAGCAGCGGAGAGAATTGGTTATCCATGTTTTGTGACCTCATATCATTTTTGGAGGCTGCAACACATGAATAATCTTGACTGAATGTGTTTAAGGGAGGAACAGGATTAAAAGTGTTTAAATTATTGAAAAGTCTAGGTTGTTTTTGTTGGACTTGGGTTTGGAATGTTTAATGAGAAGACTTTTTGAGTGTCTGCAAGCACCAATGATATAGCATTTACTCCAAAATATAAAGAACATTTAAAAGGGTCTCTCATTTAGGAGTCTGTAAATAGAAACAGACTAAACAATACGGACACGTCTTCAGATTGGGACCATGTGACTATAACAGTAAGTGAATCTGGTCGCAGGATCACACTAAATGATCAGCAAGCACACATGTCCTTTGAGGTGGTGGGCTCCTCTGTGAGAACACCACCAGCTAAGGAGAATTATTTGCCCCTTTTTTGAAACACAAAAACCTTTAAAAAGAAAAAAAATAACTGTTTCATCACAGATTATCCCACTGATTGTTCCCATGGATGTAATGGGGGGGTGGGGGGGGCATACCGCCCCCCCCCCCTTTTTTTTCCAAAGTCAAGTTTTGACCCCTGCACTTTTTACCATCCAAAAACCACATTACGTTATATTAAATTGACACTGGTTGAGCTCTAGGACCAAGCGGAAAACAACAGTTTGTGTTGAAGCCTGTTTCCCATTAGAGCATACTGTAAAGATACCCCCCCCCCCCTCCGCTCCCCATTTCTAAAGTGAAAATTACGCCCATGATTGTTCCTATAAGGTAATGATAATATATTTAAATTAAAGAAAAACTACAGGAACCTTGGCTGAGTTGTAAATTGCAAAAATGATGAATGAAATGAGCATCATGGTGATGCTCCATGTGTCTTAAAGCATCACGAGGGAACCTTTTACAGAATGGCTTACAAAAGTAATTTTGTGGTCGGATGGTCTTCAATTTGAGAAGTTATTCTGCTCATGAAACAATGTCAAATGTGTAAAGAAAAGGTTAATTTCCTTAGTTCAATTATTGGTTTATTTTTAATTCGACATATAATGAGAAAAATAACATCTGAAAGTCAATTTCTATTAGTGACTAATAAAGTGGAGATTACAAAACCCAGTTTGAAAAAGGCAGTCCTCTTGATTAAAGCCTACACGTGGGTGCCCCCTTGAGGCGAGTACATACTACTGATGCGGCTGTGATTCCAAACGTCTTATCAGTCCGTGTGATTGGCATTGCATATATTTAGTAAGGACAAATGGCAATGTCGACATCTTATTAAAATCAATGCTAGTAGCAGTACACAGTAAAATTATTACCCACAAGCGCCACCATTCTGATCGTTTGAGGTTTCAGAAAGCTCACTGTGTCTTGGTTGAATTTTAGCCTTGTTTATTTATTCTTTATAAAACCAGTAAGTTCCCATTGAGATTAAAAAACTAATGTTGAAGAGAGTCCTGGCCAAGAGGCAGCAAAAGTTACAGTTACAAATTTTTCAGCTACACAGGCTTTTAAAAATGACAGAAGGCAGTTACAACACAGGGAATCCGTCTCAAGGGCTCTCAGTCTGGTTTTAAATGTTACTTATATTTTACTACATTTTTATGTGAGCGGTCTTTAGTGAGCACAAAGACAATGTTGTTGTACACCTGTGCAATGGCAATTAAACACTCTTGAATCTTGAATTTCTGATCATGAAAAAATATCAGATATGTAAAGAACAGGTTTATTACATCGGGTATTTTATTAGTTTTTATTTTATTTGACATATAATCAGAAAATTGACATATGATGAAAGTCATTTTACATTCCTAACAAATAAAACCCCACTTAGAAAAATCCCCCTGTGGTTTTTGGTTTACGTGTGGGTGCCCCCTAGTGGTGAATACATGCAACTAATACAAGTCTGATTCAAAATATCCCATCAGTCAGTGTTTAAATATTATTTAATTATTTAATAGGGACAGATCGTGTCATTGTCTTCATTTTATTAATATCAATGCAAGTGGCCGTAATACAATTATGTTTAACATGAGACACAATGCAACAATTAGAACTATATATGAGGTCATTTAGGTGAATTTGAAGAGCAAGTCACCCCCAAATCAACTTTTTTTGCTGATCAACTAAATAAACGAGTGTCTAATTGTACTGTAGACATGTGTGGTCAATAATTTGGCACTTCAGTGCCTCTTAGTTAAAATGTACATTTTCAGCCTAAAACTGGCAGTATTGTGCCGTCATCAGGTAAAAACTCTGCACCGTATTTGAATTTAAATCTGCCACCGCTATTGGCTAAGAGGTATGCTGTGATGTAACCTGGTACATTATGATGTCACAATGCCGTTGTGAGCCTGTGTGTGTGTGTATTTGTTAGCGGCTCCGCCCTCTCGGTCTGCCAGGCAACAGCATTTGTTGCATTTTTCAAACATGAAGTGGGAGTGGAGTAAGTTTCTTGCAGGGGGTGACTTGCTCTTTAAGCATAAAATAGCATCTTCAGGAAACCAGGAAACCATATCTATGCTAGTGCTGTCTGTATTTTGTCTTCATGGATTGGGCGATCAAAGTTTAAAATAAGTGGCTGAGAAAACCTTTGGGAGTGGCCTGCATAATTTAAAAATCGCCGTCTTTTACGCCTTTGGAAAAGTCCCAGAATGTCATAAAAAGCAGCGTTTTGTGCTGTCAAAAGCGCCGGCTTTTGCACTGTTCTGGGGACGCGCTAGAAATGCCTCAGTTCGGCATTCAATGACTAATAAAAACGTAGTGATTAACGGAGCTCTGAAAGACTGCATGAAGATGGCATGCAATACGGCGTTCTGAAGGGATTTCTGTATGGCATGTGGCTCGGATCACAATTTGTCCACTTTTGAGCATGTTTGGTTATTTAACGGCTTCAAAATCGCCGTCTTTACACTTAAAATGCAAAAAAAAAAAAATAAAATAAAATAAAGCAGCGGAAATCCCTTCAGAACGCCGTATTGTTATTTACATATCTGATATTTTCAGAAATTCAAGATAAAAGATTGTTTCATTGCACAGGTGTACAACAAAATTGTCTTTGTGCTCACTAAAGACAGGATGTAGTAAAATTAGGACAATTTAAAACCAGACAGAGCCCTGGAGACGGATTCCCTGTGTTGTAACTGCCTTCTGTAATTTTGTAAACAACATGTCTGTGTAGCTAAAACTATAGTAACAGTAAAAATTTTCAGCCTCTTGTCCAGCACTCCCTTGAAAATGAGGTTTTAATCTCAATGGGACTTTCCTGGTTAAATAAAGAATACATAAACAAGGCTAAAATTGATATCATGCATCCATGCAAGGATTAGTACATAAAAAATTAGCTAAAAACACAAGATCACTAATACCTTAAAACAGAATGTTGCTACTAGATAATAAAAAAGTTACTAAACATGCTCTCCCTTTCTTAGATTTTTTAACTGCTTTTTAAAAACTTCCACGGTAGAACACTGACTTGCCAAATGAGAAAAAACGGTTCCATAGAATTAATCGAACCCTATAACGGATGGAAAAATATCCAAGACAAGAAAGATATTTCGGGGGATGAAGACACGTCAACTAACTAACGTGTTCTAAAGTGGGCGATTAGTGATCCGACCGGCTTGCCATACCGCTCCGACGCAAACGGATAAGTATAAATCAGGCTTTAGGCATCCTAATCATCCAAATCACGCTACTACTACAAGCTGTTGCTAAGTGTACTCGGTCGTTGCTCGTGTCTGCGGGAACCGCTGCAGTGAAGCTGAGGGGAAAACATACATTTCAGGGTAAACGCTGCTTACATCTCTCCTCTCAGGGCTGAGTTTGATGCACCACCTGACAGCTGGTTGTGTACTGGCTACCAGATCTATTGTTTACACCGAAAATCTAGTTGTAAACAAGCAAGAGTAACCTTCATTTGACATAGCTGTGATGCTTAGCTAGCTGGTACGTGTTAACGGTAGATGCTAGCTAGTTCCTGTTCTACCTGCAGTAATAACAGTGGCAGCGCTTACTACCTGGTTACCAGGTTACTACCCGCCTAGAGCAACTTATTTAGGGTTTGTTAACGAACCAGCCAGACCAGACGCCGGTGAACTACGTGCAGTTACCGGGTGTTCAGACCGTCAAACACACATTTATAAACGTGTTATTTAATGCTTGATACATATATGCGAGGCTGTCCATGCAGCGTTCAGATGCATGTCCTGCCCCGATAGTCCTCCCTGATAGGAGAGGATCCTTTTAGCCGACGCTTAGCCCATAGCCCGGTTAATCCCCGCTACTTCCGCCCTCTTATCCCTCCTGAGGTGGAGGTGTGTGATTCAGAACTGTAGACAGAGTTACGACACGCTTTGAACTCGCCGACTCGCGGTCACGTGGTTCATGGAGCTCCTCAATAGTTCCAAACGTCACTGATTTTCGTCACATTTCCCCTGGCGATTAGTGGTAATTATTGAATAATATTATATATTATATATATATTATGTCCTAATTCCTTCACAAAGTAGCCAATTTATATTTTTCCGAGCATTTGTAGGAAGACAAACACCCGTGACTGTTCTACATTACAGGAATACGACAGTCCTAACACACTGTAGAACACATTTAGACCACATACATTACTATAATATATTATAGCAATAAATCTGATGTAGTAATGCAACACACTGCTCTATTATAAGCATATTTAATAACTTTTAAGTCCTACAAGAAGCCCCAAACTCGAGTTGTAACATCCATTTTAAAGTGGTTTGTTGAAAGCTAGAATTCTGCTCTAGCTTACTTTGAAAACATGCAGCTGTTTATGCTTTGAATGATGATCTATTATGTTCAGTAGAATACATTTTACAATCATTACTTCATATTTTTATGTGAAGACAGTACATGCATCTAGAACCCAGTTTATCTGTCTTCTATAGCAACTAATTAAAAAGAAAGTTTCAATAAAACGGTATGGTTCATCACAGTAGATAAAAAAGTGCTAACTGTGAAAAAATGAACACCAAACTTGTACAACATGTATAATAGCATTTTTAATAAAGCATTTTACCAACATTATGTTTAGTCATTACATATGCACAAATAAGCTGAATCATTAATTATGAGCAATGTACTCAAGACCTAATGAAACTCTTTTGAATAACTTTATTTTGATTATTATTAAAATAAAATTAGTCAGTGGGTTAAAATTTGAAATGACTAATTTTAGGGTTGGATAAAATTTTAAAATGTAATTTTACACCTCTATATTCTTGGTTCAGTTCAATATTTCTATATGTACAAAAATAGTATTTTAATAATCCCTTTATAGGTTGAATATCTTACATGGTTGGCTGCACTGCATATAGCAATCGGTCTGAGGGAGGAATCAGAATTATGGATTACCCAAAGACACAGAGAGAAGAAGAAAATGGTTGGCTCAAGTCAGCAGGAGCAACCTCACCATGACCAGAGATCACAATAACAAAAAGCTGTGTGCAGCGAGTTTAACGTGCACTCTCCAATGTTTTCTATCAAGGCTCTACATGTTCTGCTCTCAACTGCACAAGGCTGCAATTAAACTGTTAAATGTGGCAGGAAATAAACTAACACACCGCTCTACAGGCACATTTTGAGGAGGGACAGTTTACTAAGCTTAGGCAAGGCAAGGTGAGACTCAGGGCTGATGCTGTGTTTGTTCATCGCCCTGAACCAAGGAGGAGGAAGGACCCCGCAGTGAGAAGTACAGCAGAACCACTGCATGTGTGGTCCACTGACCAGTGACCACACATGTTGTACTCAAGTAAACTGTGGTACGAATCTTTTGAAATATTAAGACATTTTTATTTATTTTATTTTAAAATTATTCTTTATTCTAACAGTGCCATTATAAATTCAGAGAATGAGGAAAGCAGCAGCAGCAGTGAGGCAAATGAGATAAGGGAAAGTGAGGGGGGGACATGAGATGGTATCAGGAGAGAGGGACATCCCAGGAAGCCATGAGGAGCCGGCGTCAGGGCCAGGAGGAGAAAGGAACAGGCCATGCAACCAGGGAACCCAGCTGGAAAACCTAAGGGAGGAAATAGAAAGTCAAATAGGCATGAAAAACACAAGAGGCATTAAATGGAGTAAACAGACAATCAAAGAGGCCGTACAACTCGGTTTTTCAGTGGGTTCAACAGGCTGCAGGTTTCTTCAGGACATGAGTGTCCCTCTGCCTGATGTTAGAACCCTGCACAGACAAATGCAGCCTGTTAAACTGGAACCAGGTGTGTTAGGAGAGGTGTGTGACATGCTCAGTTTGAAGGTTAAAAATCTGACAGAGATGGAAAGAGAGTGTGTGCTTACTGTGGATGAGATGGCGATCACTCCAGGCGTGCATCACTCCATCACAGACCCAACTGGGATTTGCCGCCACCGTTGTTCCTGGTCAGCTCTCCACTCAGCCACTATGAAAACATGAAGATGGACACACAACACAGTTTAACCTTTAATGGTTACATAAGATTTTTGTTTTAGTAACTCTCTGACATTTATTTATTGATAGTTGTGTTATTGTTAATTCTTATTTCTTGTCATTCCTTAATAACAAAATTGCAAATGCTAATATTATAAAGTCTCACCGAGACAGATCTCAGACAGATCCTGAGATGCTCCTGCCTGCCGTATTTATTTTATTCACGGAAAAAAATCAGACCAGTGTTTCCCCTAGGAATTTTTCCAGCTGTGGTGGTGTGGCTGGCCGGGGGGTGGGGGGTGGGGATTATGACACGTCTCTAAATAAAGTAAAATTTTCTAGTGCAGAGTGGAGAACCCATTGAGGCACTGATTTGATCTCATTTCAGAGAAAAATAGCACAGGTTAGATGCACCTAATAAATAAAATTACTAACAAAATCAGGAATCTGTTTCTTTGCTTCATTGTTCTGGTGCTGAGAATATCACTAATGCGGATCAAAGGAGATACACAGATGAATGCACCTCTTATTTATTATTTGGAGACTACATTTACTGCAGCTGGCAGAGACAGAGATTATTTCTATTGATACACGGAGTTTACAGAATCATTTTAAATGTTAATAGGGGAAGACTGCAGGAGGGAGCAGTAAAATACAGGGATCCCCAGCAAAAACAAGAAACTTTACGAGTCTGATAAAACCCGCTGGTTTTCCATCAGGCAGTCACGGGGCAGCTCCAACGACCCAGTGGCTGTGCTGGGTCAATGTTATCGAGCTCAGTCCGGTGTCGGTGCAAGATCGGCTCGGGTGCAAGATCGGCTCGGGGTCCTTCGACTGCCGATGACGTCAAAGTACAGCAAACCCACTCGGACAAAATACACCACACATCTATACTGTTGGAAAGAATTTAGCAGTTTCGTTATTAAAATAATGTTTATTAAGACGTAATTTTGTGTTTATAATGGTATTTGTAAAATAAAACACTATATTGTATTCATAATGTTGAACTCCTCTTTGAGCACATCCCTTGAAGGATCATAGGTATTAGCAACACCTGTGAAATAGTATTTGCAGGAAAGAAGTGTGTCCCGTTTATTGAAGTATTTTGTGTTTAGAGTTTTTGACGTCTTGTCCATGCGTAGTTCAGGTACGCTCATAGCTGCTAGCCAAAACTCTGGAGTTAAAAGTTTTCTGGCTTTACTAAAATACCTGTCTGTACTTATTTGATTGATGGTAGTTTTACTTTCTATTAGACTCCAAATGTAATCATTTTGCACGTTTCTAATTCATAATTTGTAAGAATGTAATCGGTGATATTAGCATTAGCATTCCTATGGATTTTTCCACGTATATTAGCATTGCGCTAACCACTCGCTGCCAAATTGCAGCCTTTGCGATTAGAAAATCTCCTTTTGTCACATCGCAATTTAATTGCACATGCAGTTAATCGTTCAGCCCTAATATACATGCAGCTCTATGCTAAAAGTGTATTTTCAAAGAGGTAATGATGGATTTCTTTGTAAAAGTTGTCCATCTTTCCAACAGAAAATTTTGCCTGGACCAACATAACGTGATAACAATGTAACGTGATTACGTAACTTCCGTAAGGTTCATGTTCAGCCAATCAACTACTCTGACGTCACCGGCAGTCGACGGACCTCGAGCAGATCTTGTACCGACACTGGCTCGGCCGTGAACGAGCCGAGGCGACGTCGTGCTCTGCTTAAGAAGAATTGTTATTTTCCCACTTCAGAAGAAGCGTCCAACATGTTTTTACGCTTTCTCCGAGACATGTCACGTCGCTAAGTTGTTAGCGCCGCGCGCTTACACGTCAATAGTGCAGCGTAGCCTGCTGGAGGTTTTAAGGGTTCAGATGAAAACACCCGACCTCTCAGGCTGCTCACACATCGATCTTAAGTTGTCGCTGTTGCGCTCACGCCGTAATACAGTATTAGATGCGGTTAAAGTCAGACATGAAAAAATAAATACATTTTACATGAATAAGTGATGCTTAGCCTGATGGGGGGAGGAGAATCTGGCCTAATAAGCACTGGAGGAAACCCTGTCAAGATCGTCAACACTCGTTTATCTTAGTGCTATTGAAACATGTAAACCAAAAAGCATCATGTCCACTGCTGCCTTTCTAATTTTAAACTCAGTAACTTATGCTGTAACTTCACCTTGCCCTGCCTGCTCCTTCTTGCTGCCTGCCGGCTGTGATCACAAGCGACAACATAGTAGTTCCCGCTGCTTCCTCGGGAAACAGCTAAAAAAAAATCAAAGCTTGGGATCTTGTAGGCGTGGTGGTGGGATTTCAGCCGTGGCGGGCTGCCACGGCTACGCTTATGTAAGGGAAACCCTGCAGACTAGTGATTTCTCTTGGCGTTCAGTTAATACATTCAAACAGCACAGCACTCTATTTAAACTACTTACATGTAAATCTGTTATTTGTCCATCCATCCATTTTCATCCGCTTATCCGGAGTCGGGTCGCGGAGGCAGTAACGTCGAGAGGCCCAGACTTCCTTCTCCCCAGCCACTTGGGCCAGCTCCTCCAGGGGAATCCCTAGGGGTTCCCTGGCCAGGTCCAGTAAGAAGTCCGCTCCGACAGCTTCTGGCGTTTTAAAAAAGTATCCCAGAGGCACGGTAAGGGTCGGAGATGTTTAGTCTATTTAATTTCTGACTATATAAAACGATTTCTTCGGTTTTAAAGTGTGAAGTAAACTCAGACGAAGTAAAATCCAAGCCGATCCCGTTCATTTTGTTTACCTTTGTTGCCTGCCAACATGGCGTCTACTCTCTGAGAGTCACGTGACGTCCGGAGCTCTATTGGAGTGTCCCAACTCTATATATAGCTCTGGTGCGAGCCATGTCCAACCAGTATGGAGCAGTGTTTTGAGCTAGTTCAGAGGAGGGTGCTGGGTGTGATGTCACACAGAGAATAAATTAGCTAAAGCTCACCTGCAGTTGCTCAGAGTTTATCCTGAACGAGCCTAAACATTCGTGTTATTCTCGGTCCTTTGGTTAATTTATGTATTTTCATTGCTGCGGTTACATGCAGCTATACATGTGGGTTTATTTTTCTCTTCTTCCTTCTCTTCTACTCTACCTAGCAGAGCAGGCAGTTGCAGCTGTGCTCAATTGGTTAATTAGCCTGAACCGGAGTTCTGGGAGGTCCACCAATTTTGTGAGTCGTTAGCTCAGGAAGGAGAGTTGCTGATGTGGTGCTGGCTGATGGAGGGTTTGATCTGACCACAAACCTGCACCTAGCTAGCCTGGCAAGCCAGACTAAATAGATGTATTATTCAGTCTGGCAACGCTCCATTGACTGCTCTCGGTTGTGGGGCGGGTTCTACCGTTGTCTTTCAAATGTCTTTCAAATGATCTCCGCATTCCACTGGACAATGAAAACATACTCACCGCAACAGCTATCGGTAAATGAGGCGGTCCGCAGTTGAAGAAGGAGAAAACACATCATTTTTTCTAAAACCAAAAGCACTTAAATACATCTATCTGCTCCTGATTCTAATGAAGCCCAAGTTCTAATAATCCAGAATTGATGTAAAAGCCGTTTCAAACGAGCTGTCGCCATCTTGTTTCACTCTGTTGCATCATCCCACCCACCAGGCATATAGAGTGCCCTGATTGGCCCACAAAGCGGATAAAGCTCTGTGATTTGTTCACTAAGCAGATAGAGCACTATGACTGGCCCACCATTATGGACCAATCACAGCTCTTTCTGTGTTTGAAACCCCTCTGGAGAGCTGTGATTGGCCAGCCAGAATGCTGTTAGGGGCTGCAGAGGTTCCAGTGGAGCGTTCCTAGACCAAACTTTGCAAAGCAAGAATTTGGTCTCGTTCACTAGGCTAACACCTAGCTGTTGAATGAGGTGACTATTCATTTTCTACAAGGAAAGTGATCTGACCCCTTCTTTGTGTAGAAGTGGGACAGGTGATTTCTTACTCCTTATTGAAGGATCTTCCCCTGGTGTAAAAAGGTGATTTTGCTTTCCAGCTGTCCTCAGGTGAGAAGGAGAGGTCCAGTTTGGGTACTGGTAATTCGTTTAGCTGTGGTATGTGTTCCTTTAGTTTTTATTTTTGTTTCCCTTTTTCAGGAGGATTCCAGCTGCAACTTCTCTGTTTTTTTAAGGGTTGGAAATAAACCAGTTTTGTAAGCGTAACTTCTGGACTGTTTTCTTCATTTAAGCCACAACACCTTATTGTTACTTCCTCCCTCCCAACTCCTAGACTCGAACAGAGGGTTGGCATGTTACAGCTGCTGATTGGGTCTTTTCGTCCTTCTGTAGGCCCCGTATGTAAACTATAACTGAGAACTGTGTGCTCTCCACAGATGGCGTCAGCAAATGCCGTATATGGACAGAAGGAGTCCTCAGACCAGAACTTTGATTACATGTTTAAAATCCTCATCATTGGCAACAGCAGTGTGGGGAAAACGTCCTTCCTCTTCCGCTATGCAGATGACTCATTTACACCAGCGTTTGTCAGCACGGTGGGCATTGACTTCAAGGTGAAAACCATCTACAGGAATGACAAGAGGATAAAGCTGCAGATCTGGGTGAGAAGCTGCCACTTTGAATCTCCTACTGTCTTGTTTTGTGGTTTTCAGAGCAGGGTTGTAGGAAAGCGAATGAGTCAACACACAGACTAGTTAACTGTGGGTCATGCAGTGTGCTCTGGGTGTAATGGGTGGATATTTACTCACACCAATTAAACATGTCATTAATGAGTTTTTACAGAGGCCCCAATCAAAGTTTCATCACCAGCATGGAAGTGAGCTGCATTACAGATCAGAAGGAAGTCCATTTAAAATCAAAGCAGACACAGAGAAAACTAATGTCTGCTGTAAGACCATCACACTATCGACACACCCACATCACCCCGCTTCTCCTCCAGCTTCACTGGCTGCCAGTCAACTTCAGGGTTCATTTCAAGATCCTGGTTCTGGTCTATAGGGCCTTACATGGACAAGCACCATCTTACATTGGTGATCTTCTTAGTCCCTACACCCCCAGCAGGTCCCTGAGGTCCAGTGATCAAAGCCTACTGGTTGTGCAGCACCAGGCTAAAGGTCAAAGGTGACAGATCATCTGCTGCTGTGGCCCCCAGACTCTGGACCTCTCTCCCCCTGAGCCTGAGATCAGTGGACTCAGTGGTCTCCTTTAAAAAGCAGCTGAAGACTCACTTGTTCAAGCTGGCTTTTGTATGACCTTCTTCACCTCTCTCTCTTTATTCTGCTCTCCCCACCTATTCCACCTTCCTCAGGATCCACTGATTTCCCTCTTTCCTGTTCACTCTCTCTCTTTCTTAACATTTTTCTTTTAAATCACAATTGCCTATTTTTGCAAATTTTAAATATATGTTTAACCATTTTCTAAATTCTTTTTTTATATTTTTACATTTTTTGTTTTTGTGAAGCGCCTCATGATTTTTTATCTTGAGAGGAGCTATAGAAATTATATTTTCTTCTTCTTCGAAGTAATATTGTGTACAGTCTTGGCCAAAAGTTTTGAGAATGACACAAATATTAGTTTTCAGAAAGTTTGCTGCTTAACTACTTTTAAATCTTTGTTTCAGTTGTTTCTGTGATGTACTGAAATATGATTACAAGCACTTCATATTTTTCAAAGGCTTTTATCAACAATTACACAACATTTATGCAAAGAGTATTTGCAGTGTTGGCCTTCTTTTTCAGGACCTTTGCAATTTGATTGGGCATGCTCTTAATCAACATCTGGGCCAAATCCTGGGTGATAGCAACCCATTCTTTCATAATCACTTCTTGGAGTTTGTCAGAATTAGTGGGTTTTTGTTTGTCCACCTGCCTCTTGAGGATTGATACAAGTTCTCAATGGGATTAAGATCTGGAGAGTTTTCAGGCCATGGACTCAAACTTTCAACGTTTGTTGCATTGTTCTTCACCAAACTGTTGTTGGATTGTTGGAAGAAGTTGCTGTCGGAGGTTGTTTTGGTACCGTTCTTTATTCATGGCTGTGTTTTTTGGCAAAATTGTGGGTGAACCACTCCCTTTGATGAGAAGCAACCCCATACATGAATGGTCTCAGGATGCTTTACTGTTGGCATGACACAGGACTGATGGTAGCGTTCACCTTTTATTCTCCGGACAAGTCTTTTTCCAGATGCCCCAAAGAATTGGAAAGGGGCTTCATCGGAGAATATGACTTAGCCCCAGTCCTCAGAAGTCCCTTCGCCGTACTTTCTGGAGAAAATCAATCTGTACCTGGTGTTTTTTTTTTTTGAGAGAGAGAAGTGGCTTCTTTGTTGCCCTTCTTGACACCAAGCCATCTTCCAAAAGTCTTTCCCTCACTGTGCATGCAGATGTGCTCACACCTGCCTGCTGCCATTCCTGATCAAGCTTTGCACTGGAGGCACTCCGATCCCACAGCTGAATCCTAGTTAGGAGACGATCCTGGCGCTTGCTGGATTTCTTCTTCTTCTTCAGTTGTAAGGCAGACTAGAGACCTATCCGACGTATTGCTGCCACAGCAACCTACTGTTTACACAGTAACGATCACACCCTCGCGTACACACGACCTGATGCAAGAAAGCCATCAGCGCGCCCACACACTGCCCATCCTCCACCCTCAACAAGGGTTGCAAGCTAAAAACCTCCACTCCCACAGAACCCAAAAACCCTAACAGTGCCCTCCTCTCGACAAAGTAATCGGGACACTCATGCAAAACATATTTGACTGTATCCAGCACCCCACACCGGCACAAACCGTCAGGGTCCACTCCAGGGACCGGCAGTAGCAAGGGCGAAACCTCAGGCCACACCAAATGAGAGTGAACCGACCAGTCACGGAAGCCCCTCCCCACCGCCAGATTCCTCAGCCGTTCAGGAAAGCCGTCCCTAGACACCCGCCCCCACATAACTCCCAGTGACCAACCAACAGCTCAGATCACGGGCTATCCACACCCATACCCTTAACCTTCATCAGATAGCGTAGCCCCAGGTTAATGCGACGGAACTCCCAACAGCGTTTCACCCACCTCTACGAGGAGGGCAGCAACAGGGGTAGACCGAAGCGCCACACTACACACCCGCAAGGCAGCAGCCTGCAGCCCATCAAGCAGCTTCAGGGTAGTAGGCGCTGCAGATCCATACAATAGACAGCCATAGTCCAAGGACGATCTAAGCATGCCCCTATAAACCTGCAGCAAGGTGTCCCTGGAAGCCCCCCAATCAGTACCGGCCAGACAACGCAAGATATTCAGCACACGGCCACACCTGGCTACCAAAAAGTGCACATGTTTCCCCCACGTGTACTTGTCATCCAACCACAGGCCTAAGTACCTATAGCATGACACCCGCTCCAGCATGTGCCCACCTAACATCAAACCCTCACAAGGCACAGACCTCTTAAAACCAAAAACCAGAAATTTGGTCTTGGACGAGGACAACCGAAAACCCCATCTCTGAGCCCAGGCCACCACCCCATCCAACCCCTCCTGGACCTTGTGAAAAACAAAACGAAGGTTCCGACCACGCTTCCAGAAAGCACCACCATTGGCAAACAGAGACCTACCAAAACCACCACCCAAGAAGACGAACATCCCATTAACCAAGACATTGAACCGCACAGGGCTGATGACACTGCCTTGCGGCACCCCATTGTCCACCTCAACCGACTCCGAAATAATGGAACCCACCCTCACCTGGATCATCCGATCTCTTAAATAACCTCCTATCCAGTGTAACATCCTTCCTCGTACCCCCACTTCGTAAAGGGACATCAGGAGCCCATCCGCCCACAACAAATCATATGCCTTCTCAATTTCTAAAAACACTGCCAACACCGCCTCCCTGTTCGCCAGCGCCCTCAACATCCAAATCCAGCGGGGCAACGGTGCCCATCGTGGACCTCCCCCGGCGAAACCCGCTCTGACTCAGGGCAAAAAAACCTGAGTTCTCCAAGAAATACACCAGTTGTGTGGAGACCATATGTTCAATCACATTACAGACCACAGAAGTCAGAGCAATAGGCCTGCAAGAATCTGGAGCTCCAGGGGGCTTCCCCGGTCGAAGGAAAGCCACAATCACTGAATCGTCATTTTGCGGGTAACCGTCAAGACACCCAAACCGCATTAAACAAGGACAAGACCTCTTTGAGGAAGAGATCTCCCGCATGTTGGAACAGTGGATAGCCCAGACCATCCCTCCACAGACTAGTGTCTTGTCCAAAACGGATCGCAGCTTGCCGCTCATCCATCGAGAAATAAAGATTCAAGTCCTTCTGGTCGTCCACATCTCCCCACAGATCACATGTAATACCTCTCAGCAATCCCTGTCTAAGAACAAAGTCTTCATCCAGGATATTTGCTGAACTATGAACCCTCTGGAAATGTGCAACCAGCACATCAGCCTTCTCCTTATCCCCACCACCGACCTGCCCCCAACATCTAGCACTGGAAGTCCACGTTGTACCCCTGCCCCAGACATCCTGCGGACCATGCCCCACAAGCACCGCACAGACGTACAGGGCCCCAGTCCGCTACAGAAATCCTGCCAACCAGCCCTCTTCGCATCCTTCACAACCCTCCGAGCCACCACCCTCAACCTCTTGAACCTAACTGCGTTAGCCTCCACTGGGTGTTTCCTAAGAGGCCTGTAAACCCTATTCCTATCCCGAATAGCCAGACTACAAGCCTCTGACCACCACGGGACTATAGACCGACCAACAGGTGCACACTTCCTGGGAATATGGACCTCCGCCACTGACCGCATGCAACCTGAGACAGCAGAGTACCAGCCATCTATGTCGTCTCCCCCTCTCAGCCGACAGATGGCATTCTCCAATTCCCATCTTTACAAGGGCCAACAAGCATGTTTATAATTTAACCCAAGGGCCATCGAGCCAGAGCCCTCCACCATACCCCTACCAAAGATGCTCAGCACAGGACAATGATCACTCTTCATAGCCAGCTGGCTCAAAACCTCCCACCCACATGCCACCATGGCCAAGTCTGCCAAAGCTAACGTCAAGTCCAAGGCTGACAAGCATAGACCATCCCCCTTAAACCAAGTATGGATGCCATCATTCAATACTACCAACCCAGACTCATCCAACATGTCCTCCAACACCCTGCCATTCCCGCCAGTATGACAAGCCCCCCACAGCTCACTATGAGCATTAAAGTCACAAGTAGAAGTGCTTAAAGCCTTTCTTCTTAAAAAAATAAAAAAGATGTTTGCGCTGTTTCCAGACTCAATTTTTGACTACAGCTAAAAACCACAGCATCGCGTGGTACAGTCGGCATTTCTGTCTTTTTTGTGATTGGTTATTTTTGAGCTGGCTAGTCCCGCCCCCTCATGTCATTTAGAACAGAGGAAAGAGCTGCAGCGGACTCCACTTCAGTTGCCATGTTTATGACAAACTCAGCGTCATGGTGTGACGTACGCTACTCAGTGCTGATTGGCTCAGTTAGAATTCTCACAGGGTTGGATTACTCTAATAGGAGAGTTCACAGACCCTTTCTCTGTGCAGAATTAAACAGAGGAGGAGTCTGGCAGGCCAGGCTACTTTATTCTCCCATTGTTTAAACCCAATGTTATATTTATTAGGTGTGAAGTTACTGTCATTTGCCATCCACCTCATTAGTGTTATGTCTTTCTGTATTTTTTTCTCCTAATTAAACTGAGCCATATTTTAAATGGGAAGTTTGTAATCCCATCCATCTGATTTTTGGCTTTCTTGTATATTTTTCTCTTCACCTAAAATGCTCTGTTTTGGGTTATCTCCCCAGTTTATCTCCAATTCTTTCCATTTTTAAAGTATAATCTGGTTTGCACCAATCTACAATATATCTTAATTGTGCTGCGTGATAGCACTCTTTGATATGTGGGATTCCCATTCCACCTTCTTGCTAGGCAGCTAGAGAGTATCCATTCTTATTCTAGGCCTCTTGTCTCCCCAAACAAACCTGCATATATTCTGTTCCAGCTTACAAATTGTTGTCGGGGTACCTCTATAGATAGGGCCTAGAACAGATATGAGTCTCGGTAGCACATTCATTCTGACTATATCGATCCTTCAGCTAAAGTCTAGCACTAATATGGACCATCTTTTAATGTCTTTTGGTATTTCCTGATTTATCCAAATATAACTGGCCTTATATAATTTAGTTATATTTTTAGTGATTGTGACCCCTGGGTAACTTTTTTTTTTCAACTTCCAATTAAACGGACATGATTCTTGAATTACTTTTGGTGGGTTGTAGTTAATTGTTAAGATCTGGGTCTTGCTAATATTTACCTTACAGTGGTGTGAAAAACTATTTGTCCCCTTCCTGATTTCTTATTCTTTTGCATGTTTGTCACACAAAATGTTTCTGATCGTCAAACCCGTTTAACCATTAGTCAAAGATAACACAAGTAAACACAAAATGCAGTTTTGAAATGATGGTTTTTATTATTTAGGGAGAGAACAAAATCCAAACCTACATTGCCCTGTGTGAAAAAGTAATTGCCCCCTTGTTAAAAAATAACCCAACTGTGGTGTTTCACACCTGAGTTCTGTAGCCACCCCCAAGCCTGATTACTGCCACACCTGTTTCAATCAAGAAATCACTTAAATAAGAGCTGCCTGACACAGAGAAGTAGACCAAAAGCACCTCAAAAGCTAGACATCATGCCAAGATCCAAAGAAATTCAAGACCAAAAGAGAACAAAAGTACTTGAGATCTATCAGTCTGGTAATGGTTATAAAGCCATTTCTAAAGCTTTGGGACTCCAGCGAACCACAGTGAGAGCCATTATCCACAAATGGCAACAACATGGAACAGTGGTGAACCTTTCCAGGAGTGGGCGGCCGACCAAAATTACCCCAAGAGCGAAGAGACAACTCATCCGAGAGGTCACAAAAGACCCCAGGACAACTTCTAAAGAACTGCAGGCCTCACTTGCTTCAATTAAGGTCAGTGTTCACGGCTCCACCGTAAGAAAAAGACTGGGCAAAAATGGCCTGCATGGCAGATTTCCAAGACGCAAACCTCTGTTAAGCAAAAAGAACATTAGGGCTCATCTCAGTTTTGCTAAGAAACATCTCAATGATTGCCAAGACTTTTGGGAAAATACCTTGTGGACCGATGAGACAAAGGTTGAACTTGAAAGGCAAATGTCCCGTTACATCTGGCGTAGAAGTAACGCAGCATTTCAGACAAAGAACATCATACCAACAGTAAAATATGGTGGTGGTAGTGTGATGGTCTGGGGTTGTGTTGCTGCTTCAAGAACTGGAAGGCTTGCTGTGATAAATGGAACCATGAATTCTACCGTCTACCAAAACATCCTGAAGAAGAATGTCCGGCCATCTGTTCGTCAACTAAAGCTGAAGCCATCTTGGGTGCTGCAGCAGGACAATGACCCAAAACACACCAGCAAATCCACCTCTGAACGGCTGAAGAACAACAAAATGAAGACTTGAGTGGCCTGGTCAAAGTCCTGACCTGAATCCTATTGAGATGCTATGGCATGACCTTAAAACGGCGGTTCATGCTAGAAAACCCTCAAATAAAGCTGAATTACAACAATTCTGCAAAGATGAGTGGGCCAAAATTCCTCCAGAGCACTGTAAAAGACTCGTAGCAAGTTATCGCAAACGCTTGATTGCAGTTATTGCTGCTAAGGGAGGCCCAACCAGTTATTAGGTTCAGAGGGCAATTACTTTTTCACACAGGGCAATGTAGGTTTGGATTTTGTTCTCTCTCTAAATAATAAAAAAAACCATCATTTCAAAACTGCATTTTGTGTTTACTTGTGTTATCTTTGACTGATGGTCAAATGTGTTTGATGATCAGAAACATTTTGTGTGACAAACATGCAAAAGAATAAGACATTCATAACTTGAATTTTCATTACCTTATTGGATAATGAATCTATTGAAAAATCTTGCTCTGTATGTGCCTATTTCTTATACCTTGAGCACCTGCCTCTTCAAAGGTCTCTGCCCAGCGATCCTCCTCAGAATAATAAACCTTTGGGTTTGTGTTTGCTATCTCTGTGAAGGACACTGCTGGACAGGAGCGCTACAGGACAATCACCACAGCCTACTACAGAGGAGCCATGGGCTTCATTCTCATGTATGACATCACCAATGAAGAGTCTTTCAATGCTGTCCAGGACTGGTAAGAGACAATGGGGTGGTGGGGGTGATAGTGTATTGGATGTTCCCAACGAAAGTAGCTCAGTGGTTGTAGTCCTGTTATGGCATTTTCCCATCTAGGCCAGCACAAGCAAATGTCTGAGTTTAGCAAGCTTCATATTCTTCTTCAAGGGTGAAAGGTGAATGGACCGTGGAGAAAAACACTATGGATCTGGCCATGTGGAAAGTGGCAGCTCCGCTAGGGGAGAAGTTGTTTTGCTGACAAGTGACATCAGATTTATTGTTTTTAAGAGGAAATAAATCTCAAATTACATAACAAACTTAGTCAAAATACACATACATTTTTATCATTTAAATTAGGGACATTCTGATCTAATATTTTAGCTCCCTATCCAAGTCATTTGGTTTAGAGTATCTACAGAGTCATGATCCAATACTTCCGCAGTACTTTAAAATAAGAAGAAAAAAAGAGAAAATTATCCACGTTGTCCTTTAAGTTTTTTATTTTATTATCATTTATGTGTTTTTTTCTGTATTCATGCCATTTTCTGTATTCACGTTTATAAGAAGACATCTCTTCAGATGCTTTTCATAAAATGAGACTATCATGACAACACTGGCGACATGAAGGTGGGTTGGTTCACCGGCACATGTCGGAGTCAGCCCGGTAAAAATGACTAACGACACCGAGCGAACTCACGTTCACGTTTGAAAGCAGCGCTGAATCCAGATACATCAGCACAAAGTGCGTTCGTTGCTCTGAGCCAGCATGACGTACAAGGGAACAGCGCCGCTAACTCAGTTCGGGCGTTGCTTTCCAAAAGGGTCTATGTAGGGGGCGGGCGTATTACGTGAACGGACCCATCTGATTGGCCGCATATCAGAAGGACTACATTTTATTGGTCAAATAATACTTCCGCATAAAAAACAGAGCTGGTTTACAAAAAGCTGATGTATGACACGGATGGAAATGTTTGAACCAAACATTTATCGCTGTTTTTGCCGTGTTTTGCGATGGGCCTATCGCACGTCCTGTTATCCCGATTAGGGTTGTCACGGTATAAAAATTTAACCTCACGGTTATTGTGACCAAAATTATCACGGTTTTCGGTATTATCGCGGTATTTTTTAAACGGTGTTGCATATGTTCAGAAAGCATTGATAGTCCTGTTCTACACAAACTGAAATAGTTTTGAAAAGGTTTAACAGTGTTTATTAAACCTAAAATAACACAAAGCCTTAGCAAAAGTGCAACTTTTCACTAGTAAAGGAACAAATAGCTTATTTTTCTGGAACATGTTACAGTAGTCACTGCAGGTTTAAATGATACAAATCCAAACATTCAAAACATAAACAATATGTAAACAAATCAAAGAAACACCACTTGTTTTCTCATATACTTGTTTTCTTCATTATCAAAATGAAAATCTAAAACTCCAGTCCACACTTAACTTGAGCACTGTACAAGTCAACCTTAAAAAATATGTATTTAAAACAAATAGCCACTTTAAACAAATTACTAAAATAACTACTACACTATGTAATCAAATCCAAATGTTCAAGTATAAATGGCATTGAATAAGTAAACAAATCAATGACAAGGAACTAATTGTATATTTCTCTTCATCATCAACAAATAAGATGCTTCATCCAGCAACAGGGTGTCCGTGACACGGTTTAAATGCTGGCAGAGGACGCTGCGGCTGCACTATTTAGTGACTCGTTGCATTCTCCCTCAACCAAAAGTCCTCACGTCATGCATTTAAGCTAAAATGCTAATGTTAACTTACCTTGCACTGGCTGTAGAGACGTGGGTGATGGTCACGCAGATGTGCCATTAGATTCGAAGTGTTGCTGCCTTTTGCAGACACTTGTTTCCTGCATGTTCTGCAAACGGGATAGCAGTCTTCTATTAACTGTCCCTCAGCGTTTTTCAGAAATCCAAAATATGCCCATACTTCCGATTTAGTCTTCTTTGAGGGCTGTTGGATGTCCTGGGCGCTGCCGTCTCCTCCTTCGGCCATTATTTCAGCTTCAAAGTTTTGGTGCCGTTGCAAATTAAAAAGTGCGTGTGCGCGCCGCGGGAACTTCAGCTGAAGCGACGGTGGCTGGTAAGGGTCATCGCGCCGAAACCGCGGCCACGGTAAACCCACCGAGATAATATAGTTTTTTAAAAACTGGACGGTTATTTTTATTGTCAACTTTTTTACCGGGGTTTACCGCTATACCGGTTACCGTGACAACCCTAATCCCGATGACGATAATTTTTCGATATATTGTGCAGCCTTACAGTAAAATATTCTGTATGTGACCATATTATGGTGATCCTTGGGTCGTGATGATGGGGCCCTTTAATATTGTTGCCCAGGGTACAACAAAGTGTTAATCTGGCCCTGGCCCCAGGGCAGCTGTACCTACATTGTAGCTCATCCCCACCAGCATGTAAACGTGTGTGTGAGTGTGTGAATGGCTGATTGTGTTGTGAAGCACCTTGGGGGGTTGTAGAACCCTAAGAAGGCATTAAACAGTATACAAATATAGGCTATTTAGAAGCAAAAATCACAGACAGAACATGGGGGAAAAAAAGAAGCAAAAATCACTAACTAGTGTAATAAAGAACAAGAAGTTATGAAGAATGCAGAAAAAAAAATCCGAAACAACAGAAAACTGAAATCTCTGAACATAGTTAAAAGAACTGGACAGCTGAAATGTCTACACACCTGTTTTTTTGAGTAGGATTAGTTTAACAGTTAAATTTTTACAGTTAGCTGACCTGTGAATTTAACAGCATGTGCTACATTCTGAAACTGAAGCTTGTCCAAAATGCTGCAGCTAGAGTTCTGATGAGAATTAAAAAGAGAGATCATATCTCTCCTGTCTTAGCATCCCTACATTGGCTGCCTGTTAAATTCAGAATAGATTTTAAGATCCTCCTTCTCACATATAAAGCTCTCAATAATCAAGCGCTATCATAAAACAGTTCCATACATACTGTGACCACCTGTGGTGCACCCCATTGCTCATTTCCTGCCTCCTCTCTGCCTTGATGGCAAATGCTCAGCACCTGTGCGCCACGCCCAAGTTCACCTTCAAAAGGAAGGCCTCACTGTAGCTCCCCTGGTTTTTTCCCCAATCATTTACCTGCAAGACACTGAGAATCAGACACATATTTGGATCCATCCAACAAGGCCATTGATCCCTTGGATGTGTTGTGTTTTTGGAGACAGGAGAGCTCATGTTAAAAGTGCTAGAGCAATGTGTCAGCATGTGGAACGTCTCCCTGTGATGGCGTGCAATTCACCTCTCATCCCAGAGGAGAATACTTTTCTGAATTATGTCCTGTGTCCTGTTCGAAGAGTCATTCACACCACTGTCAAGTGACTCCTTATCCATGGCTGTCTAAACTACAAAGAAATAAGAAGATAAAAAAAGGAAATAAAAATGGTTCTTCTCTGGCGCTCACAGGGAGCAGACGCTTCTGCCTTTCCTCCCTTATCTGTGTCTTCCCAAGGCTCTTTTTTGTCCCGTCTGCCTACAGAGCGCTTCTCTGCATTTCCTCTGCAATCACCTTTTCTGACGCCATAAGCAGCCTTGGAGTTGCATGCAAAACCCCCACGCTGGAAGGAATGCAGACAAATGCTGTGATTCTCTATCCACCCCCCACCCCACCCCCCACCCCGCCTTCAGATTGAGGTCTCCACCGAGGTCATCAAGCTAAAGGACTCACTGCTCTTTGTGCTTCCCCATGACCTCCCTCCCACCTGCGGAGCCAGCTGGTTGAGCGCCATACAGGCCGCCCCCGCTGAGGAACCAGGATCCCAGCCCCTCCCCCCTACCTACTGGGTCTCATGTTGTGAACTGTGACGTTTGTTGCTTACATGTCGGGTGTTTTTTTGCATTGGAGGGCTGCACCCTGCTGGTGTAACCCTGTTAATGCCTTTTTTCTCCCTCCCTGAACTTCCCTCATGTAACACCCTCTTCATCTATCTATTAAGGTAGCGCGACTCATGTTGCGAATGACCGCAGTCACCAATTCTTGTTATGTGTCTTACCCACGTATGTCTGATCTTTGAATTGTGTGTGCTGAAACTGAATTTCATTTCTCCGTATGCCCTGCACATGCGGTAGAATATGACAATAATGACTTTGACTTTGACAACAAAATCAAAGTCAAGACTGATTTGTCTTCATGGACTGTGCTGAATTTCTTATTCTGTTGGTTGTGCTCACTTTTTACAGAAATTAAGGGTGTTTGCTAATAAATTTTAAGTATATGTCCTTGTGTGACGAAGGAAATACTGGGTACAAAGCAAATTTCTTAACACACAATAATCCCATAAGTCAGAAGAGAGACCTGACTGGCACCCCATTATACCAACTAAACCAACCCAGGAGTGAAACCGTTGCAATACATTCTAACAGAGCAAGTTTACTGGTCGTTCCTAGAATATCTCAAAATAGGATGGGAGGCAGATCTTTTAGCTATCAGGCTCCTCTCCTGTGGAACCAACTCCCAGCTTTAGTCCATGAGGCAGACATCTTGTCTACTTTTAAGACTAGGCTTAAAACATTTTTATTTGATAGGGCCTATGGTTAAAATCTGATGTTGTCCAGATCTGGACAAGTGGGGGAGTAGAGGGAGGTGGAGTGTACAGTCGGTAAAGACGGCTCTCCCTTGCCCTGCCTCCAACAGGCCTCCATCTAAAAGGCTAGGTTATCCAGAGTTATCTCTGTAGTTATGCTGCTATAGGCTTAGACTGCTGGAGGACATGATGACCACTTTCCACACTCTACTGCTTTCTTCTACAATTTCTCTCTTAATTGCATTATTTCCTGCTATTTCAGCTGTTAACTTTATTTTTTCTCTAAGTGTTTTTCTCCCCAGAAGAAGCTACAATGATGTTCTGCTGAGCTGTGGTGGCCTCATGGAGGGGGCCATCGTCTAGCACACTGCTGCTTAAAGAGTCTCCCTCTCCTGATAATAACTTTTTACTTTTATTGACATGGAATGTGCTACTACTA